TCCTACTTCTAATAGGTAAATCAAACTCTAAAGATAAGGAAAACTAATTAAGATAAGATGAGCTGAGGGCTGATGAGATAAGCTGCCGCCTTGTGGGCCCCTCCTCACTGCTGCTGTCGGCGGCTGTACGCCCTCCCTACAAACGCATCCACAACATATAAAAGTATTTTATAACACAATGTACAATACAGCTTGGCGATTAGGCGAGGTGAGCCTCCAAGGGCACCTTGTCGCCTAGGCGTTGCCTCGACAACTATGGTTTGAGAGAATTTTGTTGGTAGGGTTACCAAGTAGTAAACTACTTCTTTGATTTGATCATACACTAGCAGTTATCTATGGTAAACAACTAGAAACCCCAGCAACCAATCCATCCAATGTAACTATTAAACTAGATTTTGATGTTTGCTTCATTAGTAATTGAGGTTCCCCTAGTTTTGATGGAGCTTTCAGAAACCATTATGGTGAGGTTCATCCTTAAGTTTTCAGTCCTCATTGGCCCTAGTGATTCCACTAGAACTGAGATGCTAGTTTTGTGCAAGGCTTTAAGATTGATTTTTGCTATGAGTTTTGACCAAGTAGTAGAAGGCTCACAAATAACTATTTCCTGGTAACTGTCAGTTTTATAAAGGCCTCTGGACTCTTAATCAAGAAACAAGATCAATAAGGGGAATTTACTTGAGTAGAAGATCAAGACTGCAATCAGCCTTGAACCCTAATAGATTTTAGGTTAAGAAAAGTAGAAGAMAAGTGAGAGGAAGGAGAAAAGAGAGAAGAGAAACAGGAGAACACAAGGGTTTGAAAGAAGGGACAGATTCTAACACATCTGCCGCCGCCACTCTCTTAGTATTTATAGGTTATGTTCAGTACATAGAGAAAAGGACAGATCTGCCCTTAGTACTTACATGACAAATAAAGTAAATAAAACTGAAATAACAAATTGACCCCAACTGACACTACCATGACTGAAACAAATAATTACACATACTGTCCTACGAACAGAGTGGGGACCACAGCTGTGGGGCCCACATCAGTGTTCTCTACAACTTGGGCTGTGTTTGGTTTGAAAGAAAAGATGGGGAAAGTAGGGAAAAGGTTTCCCTACCTTTCCCTCCCTTTTCTTTCAAACCAAACACAGCCTTAAGGATTGGTGTTAAAGATATATTATTTTTATTGATAACCTTGTAATTTTATTAAAATATGTAGAAAGAGTGTTTTATATACAAATAATGAGTGTAACTAGAATCCCTGAAAAAAACATTAGGCTAGGAAAGTGCGGCCCAACTCCAAGCAGATTGGTGTTAGATATGACAATACAAGGTGGGGTATGGCTATCAAGCAGATTCCTATCTGACATAAAAGGGTTCACCTCACTCACATGATGCCCTTCTTATTGTATGTTGTCAAGGTGTTGCCTAGGCAACTAGGCTCCCTTGGTTGGACACCTTGCCTGAATGCCTTGAATTATAATAACTAGGTGCATGCCTAGTTGACAAAAATTACTGTAATTGGTGGCATAATGTACCTCTTATTACCGCTACAGCTTTTGATAATTCTTTCATATCACATTACTGCCATATCGATAAAAAAATCACATTATTGCCATTTCAGGATTACTGTTTCTCCAAATAGAATCTGATTCCAAAATGCTGACTCTCTATACCTTCTCTTTACTTTCTTGATTTTATTTAGTTATTAAAATAACTTTTTATATTTTGGTTTTGCAGGCTTTTATTAAAATCGCTCAAGCTGTTTCATCTAGACCTGTAAGTTAACATTTGATGTACCTTTTAAATTTTGAATGTAAAACATTAGCATATAATCCACTTGGGTTAGGCCAGTTAAACCTTGGACTTGGATCACCCCAGTCCAAGTTATATCCTATCAGTCTATCAGAAAACAAGCTCCAAGAATTAAAGCATTATTACCTTTGACATTCTTATATCCAGTAAAGTGTGACCTCAAAAGTGGTTCAACTATGAGTCCCAAGGACTATGAAATAAACTTTTATTTGATTTTATCATATGAACCACACACACATAGAACTAGAAGAAGATGGAAGTTCCAAGAACCATAGTTGTCAAGGCAATGCCTAGCATTTTTGTACAAGGTGCTATATTATATTTTTATATTTATTATTTTCTGAAACTAAAAATAAAATAGATATTATATTCATTTTGTGGGTTTATATACTAGTTTCTTTTTATTATTTCCTTATTTGTTAAGGTTCAATCAACACACATGTTGGTGTATGTTGTCTTGAACCTTTGAAGACTCCAAAACCTAAACTGATAAGCAATGAGAAACTAAAAATTTTATCCAATATATTTTCTCAATTTTCTTTTCTTTCTTCTTTTCTTATGAATATGTTTATTTTTTATATTTTGATTTGAAGCTTTGATGAAGATTGTTGATGATTACTAATGAAAGATACTGGTTGCTATGGAATTGAGGGAATTACCCTAGGATTTAGGGTTTTGCTTAAAAAACCATTGCCTAGGTGACATCAAGGTGACAAAGTGCCTCCCTGTTGCCTAGTCTTGCCTTGGTGCCTTGAAAACAATGCAAAAATGATGAAATCCTCACGTAATGTAGCACTTTTTAGTGTTTATCAGTCAACTATTTGAGCAAAGGTTCCTCACCTAATTTGAAAGTGCAGGTTAAGAGGATAACATTTATTGTGATTATTAATCCTTCAGTATTTCTATTGTGACTTCCTTCTTGTAGGATGTGATACCACCTGCATATCTAGAGGAGCTTTCACTCTTGCAAGATCGAATAACACCATTCTCAACTGAAGTTGCTTTTGATACAATAGAACAAGAGCTTGGTTTGTCAATTGATGCGCTTTTCTCAGAGATCTCACCAGAACCTGTGGCTGCAGCATCCCTTGGTCAGGTTAGTCCTTGGTTATACTGCATAGTAGTGAAAACTTATTTTGTGTGGAGTTGTTGTTGCCATTCCAGTACTAATTCAATATCTGACTAGTTATGATTTTTAGGTTTATCAAGCTAGGCTTCGCCCTAGTGGACAGGTTGTTGCTATCAAGGTTCAAAGGCCTGGAGTTCAAGCAGCAATATCCTTGGATATTTTTATTCTGCGTTTTCTTGCAGGAGTAACTCGTAGAGTTGCCAAACTTAACACTGATCTTCAGGTGACACTGTGAAGTATAGTACTGTATTTGTATTAAACAGGTGTTAGCAATTGGTGTCTATGTTACTCAAGAATCACAAAAAATAGCTTCTTTCTTCCGTGCTGATACTGAATGAAATGAATTTGGTTTGTAGGCAGTGGTTGATGAATGGGCATCAAGTCTTTTTCGGGTATATTCTATCCTCCTTTTGCTTTATTCATGGAATTTTGGTGTTTCAATTATATACCGCAGGAAATTTTGTGCCTTTAACTAGATATGGATTTCGGAACTTCCAATTTATACTAATCAACCTAATAACAAAGTATTTTTTTTCAAGACATTGTTTGACACATTCCTATCATCCACTTTTCTTTTCTCTTTCTTTTTTCTATGTTGTTTGGTTTGATCATTCATAGTGAGGGAGTGTTTGTAGAGGATGGTGTTGATAAGTGCATCTGTTCTGCAATTGCCAAACATCAATTACATTAAAAATGGAATTTTAAAAAATAAATCTAAGACAAACAATGTTGTATGTAGCAGATATTGAACAATCAAGAAGTAGAATGCCCATTAAAATGAGTTTTAAAGAGAGAAAGATGTTGAGATGGATGGTTGGCATGATCAGCTACAATATAATTAAATATTAGTGCAAAGTATATGTATATAAATGTATTATAAGCCCCACTTTTATTTATTGTACTATTCATAGATTAGCTAATTAGAATATTATAGCAGACCAAATGGTGTATGTTGTTTGCTTGACAACCTAGTACCAACTGATGAGACTAGAGTTGGGTTAATTGCAAGGCTTTAAAGGTAAGTAGGACTAAGGACAGAATAGACATGAATATCTTGTATGCGACTTTATCAATAAATGTAGGAATTAGGGTATGGTTGAGATTGGCAATAAATAGATGCCTTAACAGCAGTCATCTTACTTGTTTTGGTTTGAGAAACCAAAGTGAAGGAGAGACTGAAGATGGTGTTGCTTGTAGAATTAGAGTGGTAATAAATGCATACTGATAAAATTGAAGGGAAAAGTTTATAATATGGTTATAACACCAGAATGTTGTATGGAGCAAAGTATTGGGCCATGAATAAACAACAGACCCATAAAATGAGTCTATAATGTATGAAGATGTTGAGATGGATGAGTTATAGGACCAGAATTAGAAATGGATGGGAACTTTGTGACCTCATAGGTGACAAAAGGAAGACAAGTTGAGGATTCTAAAAGAGCTAGGAGGAGACTTGTGGGTTGGAATATTTGAAAAGGTTTGACAAGTCATAATTCAATAAAGGATATGGCTCTTGATAAAGTGGAAATGCCATACCGTTTATTGAATTATGACTTATTAAACCTTTTGTATTCATGGATCAGGATACAAATATCTATTTTTTTTTTTGCATTTATGTCCTGCAATTTTGGGTTAGAATATTCAATTCATTCTTTTTTAATAGTGGGACCCATTTATGGTTCACATTCTAATTACTGCTACTTTTCCCATTGGTATGTTGGATGCAAAGCTTATTTATTTATTATTATTCTGATTTTTTAATAGTCATACTCTTAGAACTTCTCATTGAATACAGGTAAATCATATTGAATGCAGGAGATGGATTATAGGAAAGAGGCAAGGAATGGACTAAAGTTCAGGTAAGCACATTATTTCAAGGTGGATGTCAGTTGTATGCTTTATGGTATCATCTTTTTCTTTTAACTTGTAACCATATATGTAGCATATTAATGTAGATTGTAAAAAATGAAAACGCCCCAACACAAAGTAAAGTCTGGGCTTCCCAATGACCTGTAGATCCTCATAAAAATATACAAAATTGCTTCTATTCTAGTGATGAAATACTCAATGAAAGTAATTCCTTAAAATACCCTCTTTTGTAATACTATTTGTCAAGAGCTTATCAGTCTAGTAAACCAAAGGGAAGAGATGTTCACTCTGGATTGGATGCTGATGATGTTGCCTCTTTAATTTAAAGTGTGGTTTCTATGGTCCTCTAATTATATTTGATGCCCCTCATTTATCCCATCAAAATTATGAGCCCTTTAAGATCATCCTTAAATAGTCCATGGACCAGTTGCTAGATTCCCCCTGATCCACAGACCTGTATCAATGATAGGACTTTGTTCTTACTTGTTGAGTTGGGCCTAGTTGTTTTTATTCTTATCTTAAGTTATTTAGTTAGGAAGTTGTTGGGCTTTAGGCCCATTAGTTTATGTTTTTAAGTTGTGACTGTTCAGCTACATTAGTAGCCGCCCTACTAAGGGYATCCTTGTAATATCTCATCCTTTAAGTTAAGTATAAATTATAATGAGGGGTTGGCGGCTAGGGTTAATCTAAGAATCCTGGTTGACTTCCTACTCTTTTCTCCTCCTCTTTTCTTCTCTACTGCTGAAACCTTCATCTTCCTCTTCTTTCCCTTCACAAGGAATTCAACTAAATCTGCAATCAGTGGTTTCTACTTTACTGAATCCCCTGACCACAGTCCTGAGTTTGCTAGAATGATTAGCCTGTTGCTGTTTCTGTAATACCCCTCTTAATTCTTAAAGGCCTCATATTTCCTAGAGAAGGCACACATTGTCAAACCTGTTCTCTATAGTGAATTGCAAAATTGCATGCATTTGTTATTCTGAAGGCATTTGTAGTCCTCTAGGTTGTGCCACAGTAATGCTATCCTTAGTTCCATTCTACATATGTAGACAAATATGTGAACACCCACCTAGGAATGACATAATATAATTAAGCTTAATATCTCTAACCTACACAAACTCTTTTTTTAGTCTTAAGTCACCTTTAAACCCATCCTAATCCTCCTATACTCATCCTTTGGTCGTTCAAGTCTCACTTCATTTGGTATCAGAGCAAGCAATCCTACATCAATTTGGTATTAGAGTAGGTGGTTTCTGTTGTAATGTGTAGTGGCCTCTGGCCTAGTAGGGGCATTTCTACCCTTTCCTCTTGTATTTCTTATGAGCTGTCGCCCTAAGTATAAATACTAACTTAGGCGCTACCAGCTATAGTATTCAGAATACATTCTTCTCTTTTCTCTCTTCTCTCTTCTCTGTCGAACTACATGGTATCAAAGCATCCCTGATCTGGGCACAAGCTTCTCTTCTCGGACCGTGATTTCTTTCCTTTTCTAGAAATCTGTTTTTTTCTCAGATTGTGGTTTCTTCTTCTGGGCGCAACCTTCAGCCCCTGATTTTTTCTTTCTTCTCTCTTGGTTGTTGTACCAAGGAGAAGGGTGTGGTGGCAGCCGAATGCACCAAAACTTGATTTTCTGAGGGTTTTTCTATGTGCTGTGGGTCGTGGAAGACAGGTATGTACTGTTACATTCATACGTAAACATTTGACCACTGTGAATGTCACAGTTTTGAGGATTGTAGGGACTGGTGGTCTCCTCCTGTAAACCGAGGTGTTTCAACTAAGAGTTATCACCTACAGTACTGTTATACATTCTTTGGAGGCTCCTATTTGTTTTAGACAAAAGACCCTCTATATCAGATTCGGTTTTTGAAAAAACAGCAGTAGATTTTCTGTGAAAATGGCTACTGAGGATTCAGCAACCTCCAGTATTACTTCCTAGCAAGGAAACTTAAATGGGGGGATGGACGGCATGAATTTCTCTATGTCTATTACCCCCTTTGATTGTCTGAACTATCTGGAATGGTCCAAAGGCATCAAACTTTATGTTACAGCTAGGGAGAAGGATGGTTATATAAGTGGAAAAATAAAAGAGCCAAAGTCTGGTATTGCTGAACATGATCAATGGGATCAAGAAAACAGCATGGTTATGTCATGGCTATTAGGCTCCATGTTACCTCATGTAAGGAAAAATTTCATATGGGCTGACAGCCTGTGAAATTTGGGAACGAGCCAAGGCAACCTATTCTGAACAGAGGCACTTTTCTAAGATTTATCAACTTCAAGCAGAATCATCTACATGTAAGCAAGGGGACCGTAGCCTATCTACGTACTACTCAGCCCTTACATCTGTCTGGAAGGAACTGGACTATTATCAGACAATTGACTAGAGGAATGATGAAGATGCATAGGACTATAAAAAACTTGTCTCCCAACAGCGGGTTTTTGCTTTCTTGCATGGGCTGAATCCGGCTTATGAGCCTCTACGGGTGCAGATTTTGGGAAGTAGGGAACTTCCTTCAGTTCAGGAAGTATATGCTCTAGTCCAATCTAAAGAGAGTAGAAAAAATCTCATGAATGTTTCTGAGGGGGAGTAACCTGTTGCCCTAGTTGCAAGAGGGGGTAACACAGGAATGAAAAAGGGAGAACCAAGGAAAGGTGAAGATAAAGACAAACTGTGGTGTACTCACTGCCTCCTCTTTCCTCTATTCCTGACTCCTCTCCATTTCGTGTCTTCTTGAGGCGCCGTAAGGGACAGCTGAATTCAAAGGCTATGGAGCAACTTGAGACTATACATCCAGCACCATCTGACTCCTTGAAGGAAAATCCAGGTACCCTTGTTCCTTTTGATATTATTGAACCTATTGCTATTGATGACTCTACTAATGATCTTGATGTCCCAATTGCTCATAGAAAAGGGGTTTGATCATGTACTACTCCTTTTGCTCAGTTCTTGTCCTATGAAAACATTTCATGCCTTTTTAACTACCATTGATTGTGCCTCCATTCCCAAAAGTGTTGCAGAAGCCTTATCTATACCTGAATGGACAGAGGCAATGAAGGAAGAAATTAGTGCTCTTCACAAAAACAAGACCTGGGAGTTGGTGAATCTTCCTGAAGGCAAAGAGCTAGTGGGATGCAAGTGGGTTTTCATAGTAAAACATAGAGCAGATGGGTCAGTTGAGAGGTATAAAGCCAGGTTAGTTGCAAAAGGGTATACTCAGGTGTATGGGGTTGACTACGTTGAGACTTTTGCCCCAGTTGCTAAAATGAACACTATTCGGATTATACTATCCTTGGATGTTAATTTTGATTGGGAGCTCCACCAACTGGACATCAAAAATGCATTCTTAAATGGTGATCTGGAAGAAGTGTACATGATTCAGCCTCCTGGGTTTGTAGCACAAGGGTGTGAAGAGAAAGTCTGCAAATTAAAAAAATCTTTATATGGTTTGAAATAATCCCCAAGGGCCTGGCTCAGTAGATTTCACTTGGCCCTTCAACAAATTGGGTTCAAGCAGTGCCAATCTGACCATACTCTATTTGTCAAGAGAAACCATAAGAATGTTGTTGTATTAATTGTCTATGTTGATGACATTGTGATTACGGGGAATTGGGACTCTGAGATTAAAAAGGTCAAAGAATCCCTTGCTATGCAGTTTGAGGTGAAAGATTTGGGACAACTACGTTATTTCCTTGGTATTGAGGTTGCTCGCTAAAAAAAGGGCATCTTCATTTCCCAAAGGAAGTATGTCCTAGATCTCTTGCAGGACACAGGAAAGTTAGGAGCAAAGCCTGTAGATTCTCCTAATGAGGAAAACCATTGGCTTGGTGATTGTATTGGAGAACCCGTGATAGATGTCAAGAAATTTCAAAGGCTGGTAGGAAGACTTCTCTACCAATCAATGACTCGGCCAAATATAGCTTATGTTGTTGGTGTACTTAGTCAGTTTATGCATGCACCAACATCCTCTTATTTGAGGCAGCTGAGAGGTCTCAGGTATTTGAAGCAGTATCCAGGAATTGGGTTACTTTTCAAGAAACATGATTGTATGAAAGTGGAAGTCTACATAGATGCAGATTGGGTTGGGGCAGTTGATGACAGGAAATCAACTAGTGGATATTGTACCTTTATTGGTGGAAACTTGGTTACTTTGGAGAAGCAAAAAACAAAGTGTTGTGGCCAGATCTAGTGTTGAGGCCGAGTTTAGAGCCATGGCGCATGGAGTTGCTGAAGTACTATGGGTAAAGAATTTGATTGGAGAGTTGGGTCTTTTTATTGATGGCCCAATGTCTCTCTACTGTGACAACAAGACAGCCATTAATGTTGCTGCCAATCCAGTTTTTCATGACAGGACCAAGCATCTTGAAGTTGACAAGCACTTCATAAGGGAGAAACTTGAAAAGGGGGAAGTCTGTACTTCTTACATCAGTTCCAAGGAACAACTAGCGGATGTTCTTACAAAGGGTCTTCACTATCTACGGCATAATGAACTATGTGACAAGTCGGGCATGATTGACATATTTGCTCCAACTTGAGGGGGAGTGTTGTAATGTGTAGCGGCCTGTGGCCTAGTAGGGGCATTTCTGCCCTTTCCTCTTGTACTTCTTATGAGCTGTCGCCCTAAGTATAAATACTAACTTAGGCGCCACCAGCTATAGTATTCAGAATACATTCTTCTCTCTTCTCTCTTCTCTGTCGAATTACAGTTTCTGTATGAATTAGTATCAGATCTATTGATCCTACATAAATTTATATTTTGCTTTGGATTTTATTGGAATCAAATTTATTTGGAATTTTAATTTTAAAAAGTTTTTATTGGTGGATGATCTAACAATTGGCAACTTTCTTTATTCTCCTGTTCCTATGGTCAACCAGACAGCTTTATGGAGGTCTAAAGGACGTTTTTGTTCCACAAATGTATGCAGAGAAAACTACCCGTCGAGTCCTTCTAATGGAATGGGTTGAGGTACATTCTGGTCCATCATCTTTTCCTTTACCTCATCAATACAAAGGTGTTCTTTGCTGATTTGCTCTACCTCTTGTTTTTATAGGGGCAGAAATTGTCTGAAGTCAAGGATCTTTATTTGGTGGAGGTCAAATTATTTAATTTAATATCATTTTGTTTCTAATGAAAATTTTAAGGAAATAGTTAATCTTATTATGTCCTTGGAGTATTTGCAAAGTTCTTTTTAAGTTGATTTCTGCCTTTTGACATTTGACAGGTAGGAGTCTATTGCTCATTTAACCAACTTCTAGAATATGGTTTCTACCATGCAGATCCTCATCCTGGAAATCTTCTACGTACATTCGATGGAAAACTAGCATACTTGGGTATTTATTTTTCTTTGTTCTAATTGATATTTACATAGTGCAGTTCTAAGCACCACGGGTTCATTTTTCTCTTAACACCGTTCTTGAATGACTCATTCTACTAAATTATGGTTATACAGATATGGCTCTCTTTGGATCCATTTTTTACTTCTATTTTGTTGTTTCAGTATTCTGCTTCCTTTATTACACTATCCACATGACCCTAATCATATTATTAATCCATAATTCACCTAAAGCTCTAGCTGACCTCTTCTTCTTATTGCCTATACTATGCCCTTCTGGTATGCCACTGAATTATCCAGCTAGATTTAATTTTTTTTCTGATTAACCTACAAGGACTGAAGTGAGAACAACCTGCTGCCCTAATGTCAGCCCTTTATCATTGCCCCCGTGCTGACAGCACTTAAAACACTGTAAAGTTCACCCTGCAGCTACTCTATTTATTCCTATGGTGATTCCTGATCTTTCATAGATGTTCTGCTTCTGCATCAGAAAAATCACAGTCAGCACATGGTACATCATCCTCCATAGAATTCATCAGACCATAATCATAAGCAGCATCATCAAGTTGCTATGTTTTTCATCTTCTTCGAACTCATATTTTCTTTCATCTTCAATCAAGTTGTTAGATGATTCTACAAATGGGAAATTGGTTGCTTTTTATGTGTTTGTGGCATATATTTTAAGGACTGAAAAATGTTGGGCATGAAGCCCCTTCTACTGTTTATATTGCTGTAGTTTTGCACAAATTAACTTCAAGTAGGTATTAGGTTCCATACTAGAATTTTGCTTGCTGCCACTATGACCACAAGCTGTTTCATGCCCCTTTGATGGGGCTTGTGAGCTGCACATGTGCCATGGGAAGGACTGAAAAGTTTACAAGAAAATACTTAAAGGACATGTTTGGGAGACTTAAGTTAAAAATAAGTGCTTAAAACAAGTACTTATTCAAATAAGCACTTATTTGCATTTGGCACCCAACTTTTCAAGTGCTTATTTTTTTAAAATAAGCACTTATTTTATATTGGGTGTTTGGTAGTCTTTTTCTCTAATAAGCACTTAAATAAGCATTTGTGACTATTTTGTTCTTCATTTTCTTTCAAAACTTCAAAACATACCCTTTGAAAGAACTTTTATTAAATTACTTTTATAAAAACACTTTTGTGAAAGTACTTTTATAAAAACACTTTTATGAAAGCACTTTTATAAAAGCACTTTTATAAAAGAACTTTTATGAAAACACTTATAAAAGCACTTTTATGAAAGTATCTTTACGAAAGCACTTTTATGAAAGCACTATTATGAAAGTATTTTTATGAAAGCACTTTATATAAGTACTTTTACAAAAGTAATAGTGTTTTCACAAAAGTGCTTTCGTAAAAATACTTTCATAAAAGTGCTTTTATAAAAGTGCTTTCATAAAAGTACTTTCTTAAAAGTGCTTTCATAAAAGTACTTTTATAAAAATCAACTAGGAATAATTTTATAAGTGGTATTTTAAAATTCAACTAGGGATAATTGTGGAAGAAAAAAAAATTGAACAAGTGCTTATTGTATAAGCACTTAAAGAAATCTGGAAATTTGGGCTTAAAAAATAAGCCCTTATTTTTAAAATAAGAACTTATTTCGGGCTTATTTCCCAAATACCAATAAGTGCTTAATGGCCCAAATAAGCACTTATTTTTAAGCACCCCCAAACATGGCCAAAAAATAACCAATTTCTCTCGATGCATCTGAAAATACATAAGCAGCTCATGACACTAGCACTCTTGGAATTCATTGACCATTGTATTGCTATATTAAGTCTGTTCATACCATATCTAGGCTGCCTATTCACAACAGTTAACATATCAATAAACTCTGTTCTTAATCTTATTAAGTCCAAAGGAGAATGCTTACTTTTTGTGGATAAATAATGTGCACTTCATTCGTTGAAGAAAGAACATAAATTAATTTTTAGTTTCTTTTTATACCCAGATTTTGGTATGGTGGGTGAGTTTAAACAAGAACTCCGAGATGGATTTATTGAAGCTTGTCTCCATCTTGTAAACCGAGATTTTGATGCTTTGGCTAAGGACTTTGTCACACTTGGGTATTCTAATTACCCCGTACTTCTGTATACTGCTGTGGGATTTGAATTAATTGAGTAATTAATCAACATTACCTGGAGGTCTGTGTTAATTGTGTCAAAAATTCTTTACAGGCTTCTTCCTCCAACTGCACAGAAGGATGCTGTAACAAAGGCATTAACAGGTTTCATCTTTATACATATCCTACTTGAACATGTACCTTGCTATGCTTTCATAAGTAAACTAAGAAGTCATTCCATTTAAAGATTCATGGATTTTGAGTTGCAACTTTACGGGGTAATAAAGCTGATATGAGCTTTTTTCCAGATGTCTTTCAAAGTGCTGTGGCAAAAGGAGTCCGCAATATAAGCTTTGGAGATCTTTTAGGAAATCTAGGAAGTACTATGTATGTCAATTTGATTCTTGATATAATTGTGGCATGACATAATATTTTTTCAGGATACACTTTTTTGTAGCCTATATTTCTTCTGCTAAGTATGAACAATCCAAGGTTTGCAAGTTTGATCTTGAGTGAAATTTGTATGCTACAAACATGAGAAATTCCATGGGATTTTGTAGGTAATTTCAGAATAATTTTCAACTTGATGAAGCATTACAAAGAATGAAATCATGTAGTAGAATTAACTAATGAAACATAGTACAAAAATAACGACATATAACAAGAATGGATAGATTAAGAAAAGTATAACTTTTGTAAACATACAAAATGTAATTTTGGTCAAAATATTTCTCATTTCCACCAATGTTTCTTAGGTTTATAATTAAATCCAGTTTTTAGTATTGTTCTTGTGATATTTCCCTAAATATCAACATACGGGTTATTTTTTGGAAGTATTATGAGCATCTTGTCCAAATTATGTAATTTTGGAAATCTTGTTGGTAGATATTTCAGGTCTCTACTCAACTCAACTCAACTCAGCCTTAATCCCAACTATTTGGAGTTGACCTAAAATCGGAAATTTGTGCAAAATACCAGAAAGTTTGGAGATATTGCAAACCGTGAAGACATTTTTTGGTGAATTGGACTTTGTAATATAGTTTGTGTTTTCAAGAATGCAATTTGGTAAAGTATTTAGAACTGAAATCAATTGCTAACATAAAAACTAGAACAAAAACACATTTGATCTATATGATACACTCTGTAATCTGTATGGTGTTGTCATGCTGGTTGTCTGAAGTGCTGTCAGTGTTGTCAATAACTCCCATGCTTTGAATGTATTGTCAGGATCAGTAAATCAACTTGAAGATTATTATGCTTTGGGATCCCTGAGTGTTCACATTGAACCGTCAGTCATTTCAATCGGCACTTCTTATGAATCTTTAATTTAAAATAATCAGTAATGGCTATGCCTTTTGTGACATAACTAATACACAGCCTTCTTTTATTTCTGTTCACTGGGGGTTTTGAAGGTCACACTATGATACTGCAACTATGCAACAATAGGCCACCATATTCATGAGTAGAAACTCAAATGACTTAGCACTTGGTGCTCCACAATGTAATTTAAGCCTTTTCAATTAATAAAGTAACCAGTTACCAAAAGTAGATGACTTACCTTCTCACATACCTACTTATTAGAGGAGTTGGTAATGGTCTTCCTTCTCTGCCTGTTAGATGATTTTAGGGGTAGATAAGACTTTCTCTATTTAATTCATGAGCTGATGATCCCCATGTATATATTCTTTTGAGGGGTAAGGTTTTTATGCCCACTTCCCATAGGTTATTTCTTCTTATTTACTTAATAAAATCTACGGTGGCCACCCCTCCACTGGGAGTAAATTTTGGGGAAAAAAAACAAAACCATTTACCAAAAAAATAATCATATGACTTAGCATGGAACTGAGAGCTTGCATTAGACTGCCTTGATAGCAACACAATTTTATTGCTTTCCACTTAAAAAAAAGGCTTAATCACCTAACGTTTTTTGGTTTTCTTATTTATTTTCAAGAATAAAGAAAAAAGGTTTACAGGGTAACAACTAAAAAAAATTGAGCTCCAGGTCAGTGATAGGATGTTCTCAAATGTTTGGCACTGATTTTGTTTTTTTGAACACGTCTTCTTAAATAGTTGCATTCCTATCTATTGTTTTGCTCTCTGTCATTCTTTAAGTTCCCAAGTTTTATCATTTGGTGTCTTTTTGTGCTTACATTGCCAGTGATTGTGTATAATATTTGGTTTGGCAGGTACAAGTTCAAATTTCGGATACCTTCATACTTTTCTCTTGTTATTAGAAGGTAACAATGTGATACTGAAGAAGAACTCCATAACATGTATACCGTTCTATGGTGTATGCTAGTTATTTCTCATTAAAGTTTGAGATGTTCTATGTTTCTCAGAATTGTTTGCAAACACTGCACTCACTTATGGATATTATTAATGTCTATTCTCAAGGCAAGTGTCTTGATTCTTTTCCTTGGTGTCCCCAGCCTTGCTGTTTTGGAGGGTATTGCAATCAGCCTAAATCCAGATTACAAAGTTCTCAGTAGTACATACCCATGGATTGCAAGAAAAGTCCTCACTGACAGTTCACCTCAACTCAAGTCCACTTTGCGGACTCTTCTATATAAGGTGCACATCTTACAAAGTTACATTCTTTTCACAGTATTATGGTTTTCACTCTCAAATTTTCTAATTTCTACAATACTGTACTAATCTTGTGGTCTTAGATCCTTACTTGTATTCTTGGATTCTGTGTTAGGATGGGATGTTCAGAATTGATCGTCTAGAGTCTTTGTTAACCGAGGTAAGATTTTTCTTTTCTCTCTTTTTTTTCCTATTCTTTCCATTTCTCTTGCACACATACATACACACTTGATATCAAATTCAGTGCAAGTATTGTCTAAAGCCAAGTAATCCAATTTGACAATATATCTGGGGCATCTCAATCCTTTGTCAAATAATAGTTACCAGAGTGAGAAGCACAAATGAAAAGGGAAAGGACCAAAATAAGGGTTGCAGAAATTTAGTGTAGTTTGTTCCAGTGGTGATGTGTAACTGATAGTGGGGGAGTAGCATTGGACTAGTTCCATTATTTTTGTAAAAACTGAAAGTTCTTCTGTATCTATTCTTTTTTACATAGTATGAACAAATTTCAAGAGTTATTGATTAATATAAAAGCAATGCTCACAGAACCCTCAGGGGTGGGAAGACAATTAATAGACAGTGCCTTTGCTACATATCACTTGTAGACAGAACTGAAATCTGACATTAAGTGGAATATAGTAGGAAGAAAAATAGTGGCAGTGAGGAAGAGCAAGAGATAATGGATGCTAGCCACCTGATTGGTTGGCACCACAGGTTAGAGTGGTAACCACTTACCACCTGATATATCACTTTTATGATACTGGTCGATTGGTTATAAGTTTTTCTGGTATCATTTCTTTCCGGTATCATAGTTGAACTCTTTTGTTAAAAACGAATAACCCCATGAGGCTTAAGCCTTATGCCTCTAGGCTAACACCTCACACATTGTTAAGTCCTTAATTTTGCTGGACTGGGAGCAGGTTATTAAACTACTCCCAATCACAACTTAAAAAAAAAAAAGAAACAAAAGGGCCTTTTTTCCAGATTGATCTTTTAAGCCCAGTCCTATGGGTGGGCTGAAATAATTTCTTAAGGAAGAGAAGGGCTGGCAGTCTATTTTAGTGAACAGCAGGCCCTAAGTTAATTGAGTTTATTTGTGATGCAGTAAGCATTTAATAAGCCTTCAGTCGAGCCCATTAATGGGACAACAGACCCTAAAACAAATTAAATTTTATATTAATTAATAATATTTTGAGGTGTCCCATTTATTTATAAAAGGGATGCCACTTGTCTTTTCCTAACAAGAGGACTCTTTTCTCTCCTCTAGCCACTTTAAGTGGGGTGACAGGGTTGACACATAGCCACACTAGGAAGAGGGAGCTATTTTCCCTCCTCTAGCCACTTTGAGTGGGGTGAGACATGTCACCCTAGGAAGAGGGAGTTATTTCCCTCTTTTAACCAGTTTAAATGGGGTGACATATGTCACCCTAGGAAGGAAGAGTTTTCTTTTCCCTCCTTAAACCATTCTAAGTGGGGTGACATGGGGATAATTCATCTTAGAATTTTCAGTTGCAAAATCCTTATGAAATTTATTTGGTACCTAGAAGTCCAAGGCTTTCAATTTTGAATTCTATTTTGGCTCTGTATCTCCCTTGGTTTCCAATTTCATCAGCTAATATTGAAGAGACCTTTAATTTCCTGTATGGCAGTCCCTCCGTGCACGAACAGAGAGGGTCTTGGTAGAACAAAAGGAGGACAATCATATGGTTATCACGCAAATTCTTTCTTTCACATTAACTGAAAAGGTATTGATGAACATGCATGATTTGTTTAATTTCATGGAACAATCCAAGTCATCAAATTAACCTTGAATCAAATAACAAAATTTTGTTTGATATTTTGGCAGGGTGCATTTGTTAGAGAAATACTTCTTGAAGAACTAGCCAAGGTATGCATATAGAGCATTAATTATGGTAGTTGTCATTGTAGAATAGTGGAACTAAAGACAGGTAAAACATAGGGTACTTATATTTTGAATATATCATACGCAGACTGGTTCTTCATTCCACCTACAGGATCCACAAGCCTAAAAATGGATGGATCCTATATAATCTACCTTCTATTAGATGTACACTGGTTTGACACAGATTTTAATATTGAGCACATCAAGTATTAAATCAAATTCCTATTTGAATTTGAGTTCAATAAGGTTTCTTACTTCATGGCTAGACACTTCTCGACAAGACCCCCCCTTCAACTAATGTTATGCATCCTTATTCTTCTTAATATAAAAGATTTTTATTAAAAATAAAGAAAAAATGAGATCCCCCCTTACTCTTCGCCCTCCTCCTAACCCCCCTCCTCTTAAGGAGGCTTACATCTCTTGTGTTCTGAACTACGCCTCATGCCTCTAGGTAGTGGAACGCCTCGCGTCACACCTCCACGTTTTAAAACATTGATATGCATCAATAGTGTTAAGCATAGGTGTATCATCAATAGGAATAGAAACATCAGTAGGCACAAGATGAGGAATGCCTAGATCTGTGTTAATCAAACCTGGAATCTCAAATGAGCCAATAGTAAGTGGTGTGGGTTCCCCTATTGGAGCATGTGTAGAATCAACTCTCTTATGTTGGCATGTAAAGAACCCTAAGGCAGGACATAATGGAGTAGGTAAAGAAACTGGAGCAAGAACAGGAAGAGGAATAGGACACTAACTCTCCTCCCAAAACACTCCCCATAAGGAGAACCACAGGATGTGGATTCAAAGAAAGTGACATCCATAGATTTCCGGACACTGGACCATAGCAACAATATCTCTTATGGTTTTTGGCATACCCAAGAAAAACACATTTCTTGGCTTTGGGGTCCAATTTAGAACGATGAGGACCAAGAATATAGGCAAAGCAAACACACCCGAAGACCCTCATATGTATATAAAACATCTCTCCCTCAGGAAAAAGAAGACTATATGGAACCTTAAACCCAAGAACACGAGAAGGAACAAGATTGATCAAGAAGACATCAATAAGAACTACATTACCACAAAACAAACTGGAACTGAACCATACACCATAAGACTTCTTTCCACATCCACAATATCTTTGTTTTTTTTTGCCACTCCATTCCGTTGTGGTGTATAATGAATCACCCCACGCTCCAATAAGTAAGGTGCTAGGTCCTTTTTAAAAAATTGCCTAGCATTATCTGATCTGAAAACCTTAGTCCTCACCCCAAACTATGTGAGAACCATCTGATGAAACTATTGAACCAAGGAGGGCACCTCATCACGAGACCGCATCAAATATATTAAAGAATATCGAGAGTAATAGCCTATAAATAAAAGGAAATAATGATAACTACTTATGGAAGAAATGTGATATGGTCCCCAAACATCAATCTGAACAATATTAAAAACTAAAGAACTCCTTTTATTACTTGGATGAAAAGAATGTCTACAATGCTTTGCAAGTTAACAACTTCCACATTCCAAACTAGATAACTGAACAAACTTAGATAACTTTGGAAATAAAAAACGTGAGGAATAAAATGATAAATGGCCTAACCAATACTTTTGTTGCTAACATGATGACTCTAGTGAGTTGGAAGCGCATTAAGAAGGTAGACTCCATTCACCTCAAAACCATTCCCAATCATCCTCCTTGACTCTAGATCCTAAAAATACACAACGATGAAGTCACTAAACAATTTGAATTTTTTGTTAAACTACTCACATACAAAAGATTAGTATGCAGTCTAAGAACATGTAAAATAGAAGATAAGGTAATGGTGTCAGTTACTCTAACTGACCCTTTTCCAGCAATAGGAACATGGGAACCATCTGCTACAGAGACTATCTCTATCAGAAGACGACTGACATTGGTCATATGCTCAAAGGTTCCTGAGTCTATAATATAGAGAGGTTCTTCCTTACTTGAAGTGGAGACATAATTTGTAGTAGCATATGAACTCCCTACATGAGCAAAGTAGTATGACTAATCCCTGAACTGCTTGCACCTTGCTATCCACCAAGTGAAGAACTGGAACTAGCTATATCTCTCTGATTTACATATTGCCCATATTTTCCAACTCCGCCTTGACTGTTGCTGCTGCAATAGACTCCAAAGAAGTTGGAGTTAGAGATCCATACGAATCTCTAGCCACTGCCATATTTGCATTACCCTTCTTGTTCCTAAGTTAAATTGGTATGAGATGTGGATGATGCTTCCAACAAGTGTCTCTGGTATGATCGGGCTTCTTGCAATAATCATAAAACAAATCCTTCTTATCCTCTCTTTTCATTTCATTACCACCCTTATCTTCACTAAGCTTAAGTTTATAATTATGCTAACCATAGTTGGCTCCTCAATGCCAAGATTTAACATCATAATATTCCTCCTATTCTCTTCTCCAAACATAAAGGTATATGCCCGAGAGAGAGTCACACTGTCACGGGAAAGAATGTGTTGTCGTGCAATATCATATTTAGGATTAAGTCCTGCTAAGAACCCAGAAACCCTATTCTTCTCCACTAACTTTTGATAGCAACATTAGTGTTTTAAAAGCGAAAGGCACAAAAAATCACAAGGGCCACTTTGTGCCTGAGGCACAAGGCGCAAGGTGAGGCACATGCCTTTTTGAAGCAAGGTGCAAAAATGCAAAAAGATTCTAAAATTTTCAAAAAAATATTAAACACATTATTAATTAAAAATATAAACTTAAATATTAAAATAAATGCTTTAAAAAAACTATTATCTCAAATTAAAATACATAAACATAATATTTAAAACATATTTAAAATGAAAATTAAAAAAATAAAATCAAGCATAACATATAAAACATATTCAAGCATGTAAACTCTTAATCTCTTTATTTTCTTCCCAATTGCATTACTTCAAATAGCTAATGTGATGTTAAATATTATGCATTTTTTATTCTATCAGCCACCTTTATACCAACTCTCTTGAGGCAAGCCCAAACAAGTCCATATTAGGGTCTTAAATTCTTAATCCCTATAAAAAAGAAAGGTTTTATAATTTTAAGTGTCTTTTAGAACTATCTTTTATTAGGATGAATGAATGAGCAACATTAACATAGATTTTCAAAAGGCGCACACCTAGGTTGAAGCGCAAGGCACACCAAGCACATGCCTAGGCGCACCAGATGCACACCTTTTGAAAATACTCTACTTGAAACCTAGGTGAGGCACATACCCTAAAATGTGCCTAGGTGCGCTTCAAATTCACCTTTTAACTCACTGAGCAACATCCTTGGTACTCTCCCAAATCATAGTCTCCAAATTGTTTATCTCTTGCCATAATGTTTTCAAGTTAGAATAAGTATACTGTAAGAGGCTTATCTCCCTGTTGGTTTCTTAATTGATAAGCTCTAGTAACATTTTCACTTTGTGAACAGGTCTCTACAATCCCATCCCAAATTTCTTTAACTATATTAGTCAGTGATTTAAAAGGCGCACCTAGGCGCATTTTTGGGTATGCGCCTCGTCCAGGTCCTAGGCGCACCCCTTTCAAAAGGCATATGCTTGGCGCGCCTAGGCATGCACCTGATGCGCCTTGTGCCTCAGCCCAGGCATGTGCCTTTTTAAAATTTTGCGCTTTTTGTTGTTTTTTTGAGTCTAACGGTTGGGTTAGGGGCTCCGCCCCCGGACCCCTGACCACGCCCCTATTTGCTAATGTTGTTCATTCATTCATTGCTAAAATATCTTCTTAAAAGGCAATGAAAGTTATAAAATCATTATTTTTTATGTGAGAAATAAGAATTTCAGACCCTAACATAGACTTGTTCGGGCTTGCCTTGAGGGGCGTGGTACAAAGGCGACTCATAGAATCAAGAATGCAATATGTTTTACATCACATTAGCTACTTGATGCAATGCAATTAAGGCGAAAAAGAGATTGTGGGTTTTACATGCTTGAAAATGCTTTATATGTTTGCTTTTATTTTTAATTTTTCATTTGAATACGCTTTACATGTTATGTTTATGTATTTTAATTTTAGATAATAGGTTTTTTAAAGCATTTATTTTAAAACTTAAAGTTTATATTTTTTATTAACATTATGTTTAATATTTTTTGAAATTTGTGCATTTAAATTTTTTTTTTGCATTTTTTTTCGAATTTTTTGACTTTGTTTTTGAATTTTTAGCTTTTTTTTTTTTTTGTAACTTTGTGCCTTTCTTAAAAAGGTGCGCGCCTCACCTTGTGCCTTGTGCCTTAGGCGCAAATTGGCCCTTGCACTTTTAAAACACTGATATTAGCCCACAAAGAACTTATATGAGATAACATAGAATTACATAGCTAAGGTTATCACCATATAATTCTCCTGTACCCATCGGGAAGAATTTGTCTCAGGTTTCTTCTCTTCACCAATGATATACCCTAGTTTTCCTCTTGTACCAATTGCCATCTTGGTTGATTTTGACCATTCTATATAGTTTGTACCATCTAATTTATCTATAGTGATAGTTCCTGAACCTAAAGGATCACTGGCTCCTCCCACACCCAATCCAAGGTCATCGACCAATTTTTGTTCAACTCCACTACCTTCCATAGCTTCTCAAACAGCTTAAACACCAATAAAAAACAAGAAAACACCTCTAGGATTAGATCGATCCCCTTTGGACAGTCCAAAACCCTTCTAAAAGCAAAAATACTTACTCGGCGAGATTACTTCTTCCCCGAGAACTGATAGAAACAAGAGAAGAGGTTGTTAGTCTCATCAAGAGCCCCCAAAACAGCCAGAAACTAAATCACCCCTTATGAAAAATACCTAGAAACCCAAACAATCCTAAATGCCACTCCCCAAGTAAAAAATAAGGAGTATCTATAAAAAAAAGTCAAAAAGGAGTCCTACTGCAACTAGGTTTCTTGTTCTTTCTCCAGTTCTTTCTCATTGAGAAGATTTGTACAAATATATACAACTTCTAAGA